ACATGATTGATGTCATTGAATACTGCTTCAGTCACAATCAAACATACTCTGTAGAGCTACAAGAAGAAGAATCAATGAATGAGATTAGTCTCCCCTGAGTCAGGAAGAATAGAAATTATTTCTATTAATACTTAATTAAAGTAAAAAAATGACAATTAACTATATTTTTTATTCTTAATTATATTTATTACTCTATTTTTTAATGTCAATAACAAGTGTATTTGTGAATATTACAAATATCATTATTCATCATTTAAATTCTTCTTATTTTTTGTTATATTTTCTTGTTTAATATTATACTGAATCTTAACTATCTTTATTTAATATGTTCTGATGAAATATTTATTTTATCAACATTTTTCATTATTTTACTTAGATATATATTCCCATTGATTAACACCATTTCAAGAGTAGTTGAATAAAGAAGAGTCTTAAATGAAAAATCATAAGAAATGGATAAAAGTAATAAAAAGAATAAAAATAGGAATAAAAGAAGGATAAAAAAGAAATTTAAAAAAATAATAAGAATAAAAAGTGAATTTAAACAACAAAACATTAGAAAATTAGATAAAAAATAACTTAATTACAAATAACTTGTATATTTTGACTTTTCTTTAAAAACACCGAAGTGAGTTTGTTTTTTTTATGGATTTAAGGAACTTCATTAAAAACTCTGAAAGATATAATTTGTCATTCATAACATTAGACAAATTAATTTAGTAATTGAAAGAAAAGAATTAGGTTGTTAAAAAATGTCAGAGACTAAATTCTAAATAATTAAAAAGCTAAATCCAATCCATTGTTTTACCTATACTCTGAAAAACCATTTTTGATGAAAAATCTTTAATTAAAATTATTCTAGATTAGTCTAAAAATAATGCTTAGTCTAGTTCTATTTCATGAGAAATTCCTGCTGAATCTTAATACAAAATCGTCTTTTAGAAAGACTATTATAGAAAGAAACACCTAATGTTAAGTCATCCAGAAATTATAACCATTACTCAACTATCTTTGTTGTAAGTCTCTATAGTTATGACCCTTCTTTTTCTTCGATTATTTTTTTTAATAAACAAATAGAAATGATATTTATCTTTAATACAGACATAAAGATAATTGAACCTACCTACCAAACAGTCATTTACTTGCTTTTCCCAGCACCAATAAATTGGACGTATGAAGTCTTGTCTTTTGTGATAACGAGATTCCTTGACAACCCTTTTGCTGTACGTTTTTCTTCTAAATAATTAACACATTTTTCAAAATAGTCTAATGCCTGTTCTAAAACTTCTTTATTTTGACTAAGATCAGTTGTGTCAGTAAAATATCCAAGTTCAATTAACTTATTAAACTCTTTGAATAAAGATAAAGTTAAAACACTTGGATAACCTTTATAAATTACTACATCTTCACCTTTTTCAAATTTATGTCCTATTATCTCAATAATGAAACTATAATTAACAATAAAAGGAATTGGTAAAATTCCGAATGTTGTTGTCGAAACTTCCCATTCTTCTTCTTCTTTTACTTCTTCCTTTACCTCTTCTTTTGGTTCTAATCGAGCCTCATTTGATTCAGATGAAAAGTCTTTTACTTCCTTAATCTGACGAGTTTTCCGTTCTCTTTTATCTCTACCTTTCTTTTTTCTTTCTCTTACTTGCTTTATTTTTGAAGTGGAAATCTTTTCATCACTTTCATCACTTTCACCAAATTCGTCATTGAGTAGTGACGAACCTTCCATAACCCACGACTTACCTATTTCTTCATTTGGTTTTGGTGTTTTTGCTTTGACAATATCTTCAGATACAATCTTCTCAATCAAATTCTTAGGTTTTTCTTTTCTCTCTTTCCTTTTTCGTCCAACACATCTTCTTGGCTTTTTGGTTTCATTGTCTTCTGGTGGTTCGTTCATCTCTTTATACTGTTTTTTCAATATCTCACATTTGGCTGAAATAACTTCATTTTCACTTTTTGTTTGGATTGTTTGTGAAAATAATAACGAAATCTCTTCATCTTTTTCTTTTAACATATTAGTATAATATTCAATCTCTTTCTCGCGTGATTGTATTTCTTCTTCTATTACTATATTCTCTTTTTCTATTAATTCTATTTCTTTTTGAATGGACTTGTATTTTACATAATCTTCCAGTTGAACACTCACTAACTGGTTGTTCATATGTCAATTTCTTGAATTTATTTATTTTTAGTTTTCTTCAAAAAATTGGTTCTTTAACAATATCTCAAACAGCATCTTTTTTTATTTTAGGTTTGTGTTTTTTTTTAATGACGTGGAAACTAAAGTCTTTACTTTCACAATAACTAAAATGCCTTGAGTATGATATGACATAGAAGATGACGTGGACACAGAGTAAAAAAAAGAAAGGATAGTAAAAGACTTTAAAATAGTAGGTAATAGTATAATGAACACAGCAGAGCGTGTTCCTCTCATTAAGAACGAAGAACAAAATACTAAGTTTTGTTCAGAAAATCAATTTGATAAGAGTTGTGATACAGTTGATGAGTCTTGGAAGTTGACTAAGAATATTTTTACTAAAACGTCAACAAGAAATACCAAACTCAAAAAGTTTTATGAAAAACAGAATAAATTTGTCGATTCTCTCTTTGAAGAAGTTACTGATGATAAAGATGGAATTACTGATTGTAGGACAAAAATAGCAATTTATGGAAGTTTTATTGTGAATGTTTGTTTATGTCTTATAAAAATTGTTGCAGCTGTAATGTCTGTATCATTAACAGTTATTGCAAGTACATTAGACTCATGTTTGGATATTATTTCTGGTGCAGTTATGTTTATTACTGCATTACTTATGAGAAAAAGAAATATTTATAAATATCCTGTTGGTAAAAAGAGAATGGAACCTTTAGGTGTTATTGTTTTTGCTACAGCAATGTTTACTGCAACCATTCAATTATTAACAAATGCAGCTAAAACACTAATATCTGGTACATCTGATTTTGAGATGTCAATATTTCCTATATGTGTAATTGGGGTAACAATATTTTTTAAGTGTTGTTTATATTTATATTGTAGAACAGTTAATAACCCATCTGCATCTGCATTAGCTGATGATCATAGAAATGATATTTTAACAAATACATTTGGACTTTGTATGTCAGTAATTGGATATTATTATTTTTGGTGGTTAGATGCTGTTGGTGGAATTGTTTTATCATTTTATATTATGATTAATTGGTTCTTTACATTAATGGAATATCTTTCTATTATGTCTGGTAAAGCAGCACCTAAAGAATTTATCTCTCAAATAATTGTAATCTGTTGGAATCATGATCCAAGAATCAAGGCA